CCGACCGGCGTTCTTTCGTCTCTCCGATTCCAGAGGGGAATAAGTTTGTTTTTATTTTTTGTATTTTGTTTGTGTTTTGAAGTTTCTGTAGCGGTGTGATCGGTTTTCCGGTTTAGGGTTGCTAGCCCTATTTCCAACCATCCCTCTTTATCGAGGCTTAGTACCGGCTAGTAACTACTGAACTAGTTATCCTGGCGAGGTTGTAGATTCGTTACTTGGTTTATTTCTGGACGTCTTTCTACCAACTAGTCTACATATGCTTTTTAGGTAGAAACATAGTGTATTTTTACTCTGCTTTCCGTCATTTGATTTTCCGAAAACTCATTGCATTCTGTTCTATACTTAGTTAATAGTTCACTTTATATACTCTTGAAAGCTAAGCAACAGTATATGCTTTCGGAATGTTGTTAAATTCATACGTTTTTAATAATATTGAAAAGAATATTAAAAAACTTGGAATAACCTGAGTTGTCACATGTGAATAATAGAATTTTGCTTCGAAATGTCTGAGGTAGATCTACCTTACAAGTAAAACTAAAACTGCAACTACATGGAATATAATCTCATTGTGTGGTTTAGTAAAATATGATTTGAACAGTACAGGATAAGATTGTAAGATAAATAAGTACTTGAGTTTTCATGGTTCAATTTTGGTAAAAGTAGTAGTGAATTCGCTTCACTGTGATATCAAATCACTTTCTGTTTACAACTGAACTATGCATATTTCTGTGAAAGATGAAAAAATGAATCGGCAAGTATCTTCTTCTGTTGTCTTCAAGTTAAAATAGTTACTTATCTGACCAAATTGTTTTGTAACATTAGTTTTTGGGACGTTTTCTTTTACTAAAATAAAATACTGTCTGCAGTGTTTATTCAAAGTGGAAAACACCACTTAGTTTTCATGGTTGGGGTTGAAACCCACAATCAGACATTCTAAATTCCTTGCAGATTCGCTCAGATTACATTGAAAGGATGTGCTAAGAAAAATTATGTCACTGATCCACAATATAAAAGACATATATTTAAAATAAAATTGGTGAAATAAATAACATTTTGTTGGTTTTAAAGATTGAATAACCTTACAGAAGTATTCATAGCCAACTGACAGTTGAAGAACCATTGAAAATCTGGGAGCACCGGATACTTGTTTCACCTTATTACACCTGCCATCCTTTGCAGGATCACATACGGGACCATTACTTTCAAAACTAGTACGGTATCATTCAGTCACAGGAGTTTTTACTCCAATCGTTCATATTTTCTTACTTTACATTTCATGATTGCAGAATAGATTGATCTCCATATCTCAACCAGAATTTCTATCCTTTATCAACAAATAATGAATGATACAGTAATAACAAGATCGAAAGGTACAAATAATGTACCTAAGTCATCAGTTATAATGTCGATTCCTATCAACATCCCTCAGTCACGTTTGTTTGTCTAACCATGTTTTGCCACATACATCAGACATACATGATGTAAATAAATAACGATAAACAGAACATTTCACTTACATCCAAACTCTGTTTAGCATGTGTTTTTAATGAGTTAAATGGCTCTGCACTTTAGTTGTATCAAAATGCCAATCATTAATGGCATTTAAAAACAAACATTATTTTTTGTTCTTTACCAAAAAGATGAAGGTATGTGCCTAATAAATGTTCGTTATCAATGCAAATAATTTTCTTTCTCATCAATGCGGAAACCAGTGATGGATAAATGCAAGCGAATAATAATAATAGTAGTGATCACATAATAAGAATAAAAAAGTCGTTTTATGTTGATTTGATGTCACCTTCCTCGTTTACCTGTTATTAGGTGAATGCGTCGTAGAGAAAAACAGGTAGTATTTTCCAAATGGAATTGTTTTGTCCTTGCTGTTGGTTCACTGAGTGAAAATCATATTGATACTGTGTGGTTTTTGAATTTAATTTAGTACTCAGTGTAGACTGATATCAGTTGGAGGAACAATGGAAACCTGGGAGCACTGGACAGCTGTTTCATCCTAGTGTAGAACCCCCCAGCAATGCACACCCACTACCTGTCCTGGGGAAACTTGAGCACCATGTCCGATTTAATTATAATGAGGGCATACTTTAATATGAACATAGCCTGTTTAAAAAATATTCCGGGTACTCTGTTGAAAAAGCTGTACCTTATAAAATGAAACATTCAGAAAAACCTAGTTCCGATTATCTTAACACGCTGGGATTATATTAAAATATACCTTTATTATGAATTCAGAGATATGATTTATCCACTGAGTCTTACAGTTTGAAATGAAGAAAGTAAGAGATTGAAATTCCAGTGTCTCTAATGTTCTCTTGCATCGATTTACTGCATTACGTGATCAACTTGGAGTGACCAATTTCATGTTGTCATATCCTGAGTGCAGACCGAATTATATGCATCATTTTTCAAAAAAGTCAACAAGCTAATAAATTCAGCAGGTGTTCGTTGGCTGAACACAGTCGGCAGGAAGCTCTGTAGACTCTTTACGTCGAAAATAATGAATGTTTACAGGACAGAAACTTATTTCATATTTATTTTTAAGCCTAAACGTGTCTAATATGGAACATGTTGGACACTACAACCATGTTAGTCTGTTTATTAGAAATATCACACAGTGAAACAGTAGTATTTACTGGATAACGTTTCGGACACAATTTATTGTCCATATTCATATGAGGTAACTCCACAACTTCGAGACAGTCTTTATATATTCCTAGTTTTCTCTCCTTCTCTGTGATGACAAGGGTAGTAGAATTTTCCATATATCTGGGACAGATGCAGAGTCATTTCGATCGCATGTGTTTAGTTTTGATTCGATAAACTAAGATTCGGTTATCAATCTCTCCCTTCACCCAACTAAGTTAGTTTTCAACACTGTCGTCCTATCCCACCCTACTGTGTGATTGTGTGTCATCGCATGCAGAGCTATGGCCGATTTTTTTCTCTAGATTTCTTATCTTATTAGGATCTACTAATCTTGACTTATCTGAGTTTTTGTGCTCTGTTATTCTAATCGACCCTGGTCGACTGCTTTGGCCTACGTACTTGACCTTGCAATTATTGCAAGGGATCTGGTAAACCAGATCACTTTGCCTAATTGCATCGATAGGATCTTTTAACCTACAAAGCTTTAAATTCTCTCTTAACACTGTTGCCATTATTTCCATTAGTAGCGGGATTATTATTAACAACACCCGTATTACTACTACTAGAAAATACAGAACAAAATGGAATCTAATTTACCCAAGTCAGACAGTGTGAAGCTCTCAGGAACCTTCAAAATAATAACAATATAGTAACTGCCAAATAGGATAAAGGCAACTCAGTAGTTGTAATGAATAAATCTGACTACATCTACAAGGTGAATGAGCATATGGAAACAGGACCATATGAGGAACTTAAGAAGCCAGTGGATACTATTATGAGTAAGGTCAAGAAATCGACAGAGGATCTCATACGCCAAATGAAGACATTTCTAGGTGAGTCAAAGTGGTTTAATTTAATGCCGAAAAATAATAATCCCAGTAGAATGTATGGTACTATTAGGATTCATAAGTCAGGTTATCCCATCGAAAGTGACAAAGGTGAGCTAGCGATGTTGGATTGCAAAATTAAATGAACACAAGAAGGAAATCTAGAGACTAGTGTCTATAAAAAACCTTCCCATTCGAATCGCTACTTAGACTTCGAACCATAACACCCTATTTCAGTAAAAGTAGACCTAGTTAAATGCTTAAGTGACTGAAAGGAAAAGCTTACTAGTAGATCGGAAAATCTGCGACAAGAAATTGGACAAATCAAGAATACCCTACGTCTCAATAATTACCTACCAAAATTTATAAATAAATTCATAAGAAACCGATAGAAAAATATTAGCAGTGGTACCAGTAGGAATACAGGTGTCATTAATAATAATCCCGCTACTAATGGTAATAATGGCAACAGGGTTAAGAGAAAATTCAAAGCCCCTCTTGTGTTACCATACAAGGAAGGCACCTCAGAAGCACTACGAAGAATTCTCAATAAGGCTGGGATTAAAGTGGCATTCAAACCAACAAACTCACTTAGAACAAGCTTTGTAGGTTAAAAGATCCTATCGATGCAATTAGGCAAAGTGATCTGGTTTACCAGATCCCTTGCAATAATTGCAAGGTCAAGTACGTAGGCCAAAGCAGTCGACCAGGGTCGATTAGAATAACAGAGCACAAAAACTCAGATAAGTCAAGATTAGTAGATCCTAATAAGATAAGAAATCTAGAGAAAAAATCGGCCATAGCTCTGCATGCGATGACACACAATCACACAGTAGGGTGGGATAGGACGACAGTGTTGAAAACTAACTTAGTTGGGTGAAGGGAGAGATTGATAACCGAATCTTAGTTTATCGAATCAAAACTAAACACATGCGATCGAAATGACTCTGCATCTGTCCCAGATATATGGAAATTCTACTACCCTTGTCATCACAGAGAAGGAGAGAAAACTAGGAATATATAAAGACTGTCTCGAAGTTGTGGAGTTACCTCATATGAATATGGACAATAAATTGTGTCCGAAACGTTATCCAGTAAATACTACTGTTTCACTGTGTGATATTTCTAATAAACAGACTAACATGGAATTACACTCCACCACAGCTCCCAAGGTTTACTCTTATATTACAATCCATGGGACATATCTAGTGAGCTTGATTGTTGCAAAGATTCTAATTGACAACTTCAGGTATCAAATGAACTAAATTAAACCAGTGTATTTCTGTGTATGGAGGCATGAATCAGTAAGAAAGGACTTTGTTATTGCAGTAATGAGTATTCTCCTTATTCAGCAGAGACTCAGAATGGTTAAAGTTATTTATAACAGTTCAAATCACTGAGTAATTATTTTGATTTGTTCTCTGTATTTTATAACTACTGAGGCTGCTGTTCATTCGACTGAAGCATCTCTGAAATTGATGTGTTTTTATGTTCTTCCAACTTTCGTATTAGTCATGGATGAGTGAAATCAGTGCCAATCTACAATCAGGTAGTACACTGCTTGTAATAGTAGCGAATAAAATAGATGAAGAGAAAGGAAGAGTAATCTCTAGAAAAGAAGGTGAACGTTTAGCAAAAGTAAGTTCAATTTGTTTTTCACTTGTTTATTGTTCACTGGTTTGTTCTTAGTCTGATACACCATCTGTTTTGGATTAGTCATAAACTTTCGGTCGCAATCATAGTAAATCGAGTTACTGATGACTCATTACTTGACAGTGTATGAAAATGAAGTTTACCAGTTAGAGATAACTGGAGAGTATTATTTCTACACATCCATTCATCCTGTCATTGTAAAACGTGATATGATCTGTAATATAAGAGTAAAACTTGTGCACTATGGTAGAATGTAATTCCATTTTTATTGATTTATTAGATTTATCACACAGTGTAACAGTACTATTTACTTGATTACGTTTCGGACATAATTTATTGTCCATAGTCATATCAAAGTGACTACACAACTTTGAGATATCCTTTAAATAATCCTAATTTCCTTGTCTCTCTCTCTTTCTCTCTCTCTCTCTCCCTCTCTCTCTCTCTCTCTCTCTCTCTCTCTCTCTCTCTCTCTATATATATATATATATATATATATATATATATATATATATATATATATATATATATAGATGCACTGATATCTAGCTTTATCCACACTTTATTATATGCTCTTGTTTATTGTCTCAGCGTCTTTTTGTTTTACTGAATTCCACAGCTTAACAGAATTTCATTTCGTTTCTTCATGGGTTCTCTGATTGATATTCACTTTGATTTGCTGATGTTAACTGTAGCAACATGGACATTCACGGGGTTACAGCAGATTCTGCGTTAACTACTTGCTCTATTCTGTCAGTTATCCATTGAATTTAAGTATGATTCATTGAAGTAGAGCTAAAGGATTTGTTTAGTCAGCTGATGCAATGAAGTGCAGATTTTAAAATTCTACTTAAAACGTTTAAAATGTGTACAGTTGAGAAAACGTGCCTTCAGTTATGACAAATTCTAAGCTGTAATAAATATTCAAAAGTTGACACATCAAAATTCCCAGAATAAACTGTACAGTTAACTATCTTATGATCTAGTAGTTTTTATAGGTTTCTACGGTTTTTACTGCATGTACTGAAATTTCGGTTACTGAAAGTGGTATCTACACACAAAAATGTATTCATTCGTACCACAACCATGCAGACATTATCTTTATAGACAACTCTAAATATCCAATTACTTATCTTAGTTCCCATTTATTATAGTATTCACATCTTTTTTAAGCAAGAAATTCAATTGTTCATACAACACTGATTTTGATAGTCTTATTACTTCTTTTTATTTTTTGAATGAATATACTTTCTCCAGGAAACGGATGCTTTGTTCTGGGAAACTAGCGCTAAAACAGGTGCGAATGTTGAGTCAATGTTCCATAATATAGCCGAGTAAGTCATTAGAACGTGATTATTGACATTCTCCCATCAACCATAGTTACTTTGTCAGTTTTACTAACCATATAAGGAAGTGAAGCACGTTGACAGGTTGCATGAATTCTTTGTTAGTGTTTTTCCTGACCTTGGTTCCCGTTTAATTTTAAGGCCAAAAAAAGCATTAGTTAGACATTCATGCAGCCTGCAGACTTGTTGCTATTCCTCGAAAAGTTACTGCTGATGACATCTCGAAGATAATGTTAACATTTCTGTTTTTGATTTGGATATATGTTATGTCACAGTGAAACAGTATCACATAAAGAATAATTTTGAATCATTGTGTGATCGTTATTTTGATACTTTTATTTCCCGCTGCTATAGAGGGCCGAATCCCTCTACCTCTATTGCCAGATGGGCTCCTATGCGAAGGCCTCAATGCTGCCGGGTATGCATGATGTCAACTTCATCTTCAAGTTTCAGTGGAAACAACATTGCCAAGTGACCTATTGGATAAGTCTTTGACGTTCGGAGCGGTGGATTCCGAGTTCGAGTCCCGATGGGAACAATATCACTCACTGGGTGCAGATGCGTCCAGCTGACGAGTCCCAAATGGGACAAAAGGTGCATTGTGAATTCCACTGATAGTCAGCGCAAAGAATGTAACTTAATTGTAATCTAAGAAGAAAACTCCGAAACTTTTTCAGAGTCGGTTTTCATCTTCGGAACTCCTTTAGATTCTTATTAGAATTTTTGGAATAATTCTGTAGTTTTGATGAGAACTTTTATTGAAAATGATAAAAATCTAGAAAACGTTGGAGGTGTTTTTTAAATGCCGCTAGATAACCACCAAATATGCATTAGGAAACTAATTTCTATTTACTATTTCCCCCCACTTCCTACACTATGGCTAGTGATTCTTTTAGCCTTCATTTTTCGTCGCTTTTGTTTATTTGTTGAGACCTAATTTTTTAATATTGTCGTTTCAGGACGTCTTAAAAAAATGTACATATGTAGAAGTATCGCAAATCATTTCTTTCGAGCTTAAGACTTTGGCCTTCTTCTCTCCTCCTAATTCATAGGAGTATTGAAGTAGATGTTAGCTGAAGTATATATAGTGTTGACACTCATAGCGGTGTAGCACTCAAATGTTCTTCCGAAAAAAACAAAACCAGCACGTCTGAAAACTGTTCAGTTAATTAAATTTTGCCAATTTGACAGTAACTTGTACCACTAATGATAATATTTTCTGGTAGTGTGAAGTATTTAGCAGACAAACATGAAATTATACTTTCACACAATACTCAAACTGTACTTTTAAATTTTACTCAAGATAATTACTAGTCTACAAAGTTTTAAAGACTTGTATTAAAATGAGTGTTTTATCACAACACCTAAATGCTTCTTGTGGCTTCCAGATTAGGCGTTTAGGAATGAACCGTTTGGAACTCGGCATGGTTTATTGGTGTATGGTTTCTTTTTCGAACTATCCTTACTCATGGGAGTTAATACAGTACACAAAACAAGGAAAAATAAGAAAATAAGCGACACAAAGTTGGAGACTTTGTTGTCATCCGTCCTAATCAGCCTCCAATACGTGTAAAGAAAGCAGGCTTCAAAAAAAATCCAATATAGTTCTTCATAAATATTTGTGGAAACGTCAGGATAAAGTAACTCGGATTGTACAGTGGTGTTTATTTAGTGCAAGTTTTGATTTTAATTGTCTAAAGAATCTCCAACATGACATCTTTGAAACACTTCCCTCTTTAAAAGTCAGACGGATTCTGTTTGATACTGTAGCCAGAAACTTTGTGCCTTGTGTGTTCCTGTACAACCCAAAATTTCATGAAAAAAAATGTCTACAGTTAGCAAATATCAAGTGGCGCGCTACACATGTTTATGACATTTTAAGCAATATTCTTTTTCCAGGGTAACTGAATATTTCTTCCTGATAGAAGGGATTTTATACACACTAACTTCCAATCAACCACATCATGTACAACCTTCTGATATGTAATGACCTCAAATTCAACCATCCTGAACAATTCCAAACTGACTTAGTTTATATACTGACATCAAAAGACCATATGTTAGCAGCTATTCCAAATTAAGTTTACGTAGTTAAAGTGGAATTCGGCATGAAAAAAGTAGAACATAAAAGATAAGAGACCAATCCGTAACACCGATTTTGATTTGATAACTATAATGTTCAAACAACGACGTCTGATCTTTTTGGCATTAAAAAAACTAACACAATTTCTGAAAAACACTACTGCACAGCATAAACTGTAGATTGCCCTTTATTATTTTTATTATGTGTCCCTTGGGTTCCTAATGGAACATAGGACCTCAGTAGCACATCTCCATTCCACTCTGTTCTCTGAAATCCTTTGAACCTGGCTCCACGACTGCCCACAAGCTTCCATTTCATCCTCGCACGATCTCCTCCATGTCACCTTCGGCACCGACACCCAACTCGTCGCTTCCCATCTGAGTTCCACTCGAGGGTCTGGCCTGGCGCGTGATGTCCCCGAATGATCTTCTCAGTGCATGCCCAATCCAATCCAATCCAATCCAATCCATCTCCACTTCTTTCCAATGCATATTTGTTGAGTGCTAGGTTGTTGGTTGGTTCGTCACCAGCCAGAGTTCCTTGTTGCTTAGTCTGATTATTCTGGCCATCTGAGCTTCAGTAAGGAGCCGGCGTAGGCGGCAGTTGTTGATGAATGTCTGCAGTTGTTTGTTGGAAATCCCTTTCGTAACGAGTCAAGTCTGTGAACCAGATAGAAGCAGTGACTTGGCGTTGGTGTTGAAGATCCGGATGTTGTTCACATTTAATGCTGAGTGCAGTGCAGTGCAGTGCAGTGCAGTGCAGAAGATCTCCACACTGGTTTCAGGTTAATGAACACCTGTCTGGCTGTCTTTCCGATCCTGGCTGGCCTTCACGTCCTCGTCTGTGCCGCCTGTAGTTGAAACAGCGCTGCCTAGGTAGGTGAGTGGAAGGGACTACTTCCTTCAAGTTTCTCCCGTTGATGGTGATTGGAGCTTGTTGTTGATGTTGGTGGTGTTGGTTGGGTATCTTCATCACCTCTGTCTTCTCCACACTCACTTGAAGTCCCGTTTTCACTGCCCTGCCTCTTCTGTCAAGTTGTTGGGTTTCGCCTGTAGATCTTCAAGTTTGTGCGACATTAGACACAAGTCATGGGTGAAATGCAAATCCTCTTCTCGGGTTTTTTCCCCGTCCAGCCAGCGTATCCCCCTCTTCTCGCTCCTCACAGTTTGTTGCATGATCCAGTCCAGTCGACCCCAATCAGGAATATCATGGGTGATAGTAGACAGCCTTGTCCTACTCCTGTATCCACTTCAAAGGCGTCACTGAGCTTCCCATTATGAATCACTTGGCTGGCATGTGGCGTCTGAATATAGCTGTTGAATGAGGCTGATAGAAGTTTGTGGTATTCCGTAGTGTTGAAGCAACTGCCAAATTACTTGTCGGTCGACGCTGTCGAAGGCCTTCTGGAAATCGATGAAGTTGAGGTAAAGATCCATTTGACTGGCATTCTATACTCTGTTCTATGATGATGCGTAGCGTAGTGTTGCAATTTGATCTGCACGTGATTTGTTCTTCCTGAATCCAGCCAGCCAGCCAGCCAGCCAGCCAGCCAGCCAGCCAGCCAGCCAGCCAGCCAGCCAGCCAGCCAGCCTGTTACGGTCGTAGTTTTGAATGCAGCGCATTGTTTAGTGTCTATAGGATGATGCGGCATAATATTTTGCTTGCATTGGGTGGACAGGGACAGGAGCATGATTCCGCGCCAGTTCTTGCAAACACTTAGGTCTTCCTTCTTCGGTAGTTTGACAAGTGAGCACTTCTTCCAATCACTAGCCAGGTACCTTCCCTTCCTACAGACCTTCTGCAATAGTGGTGTGAGCATGTCTGCTGTTGTCTGTGCATCTGCTCTCAGTGGTTCTGGGGGGATTCGATCTGGTCCTGCTGCTTTCCCACATTTCAGTAGCTTTATGGCGCTCAGGATTTCGACTTTTGTTGGAGGATTTATGTTCACTTGTAGTTCTGTGGCTGGGGTGCAGGTGGTATTTCTGGAGGAGTTGCAGGTGGTGGTGGTGGTCGATTCAAGAGCTTTTCGAAGTGGTCAACCCCATCGTTTCCTTTGTTCCTCTTCTTTGGTAATTAAATTTCCGTCATCATCTTTTATTGGTTTCATCTGTGTTGATCTCTTCCCGTCCAGGTAGTAATCTGGTTATTTGGTGCAATGTTGTCAGGTTTCTTCTACCAGCAGCCTGTTCTGGTTCACTTGCCAGTGTTTTGTAGAAGTGTCTTTTGTCTTTCCATACACTCTTATTCACTTCTTTGTCCAATGCAGTATTTTATACCTTGTACTCAGTTCCGAGTGTTGTTCTTGAACTGCGGTCTATCACCAACTTCCTTGAAGGCTTCCAACTTGATTTGGAAGGTGGGTTCCTTGCACTAGATAATGAGTGGTGTTGACCTACATCTGCTCTTCTTCTTTATCTTGTGTCAAGTAGGCTGCGTCTACACTTTCTTGAGAATGTGATGAAGTCGATCCAGTTTCATTGTGTTTGGTGTCTGATGAAATCCATGTCGCTTTGTGGATATCCTTGTGTTTGAACACACTGCCTGACACCAATCACCAAATCGTTGAATGCGCAGAAATCTGCAAACAGTTCTCCGTTCTCATTCATTTCACCGAGTGCTTCTGGACCCATGGTTGGTTCTCTTCCTGTGTTGTCTACTCCGAGTTTGGCATTCATGTCGCCCATTAGAATTTTGATGTCGCCAACTGAGGTGGTTTCTTGTCCAGTGTTGATTGCAATTGCCTGTTGTTGCAGTTGTCCTCCTTTTTCTCTTGCTCTGCATTAATTGTGGGTGCATAGCGTAGCATTGTATGATTGTGACCTACCTTCGTTTGAGTTGAAACTTGCTGTCATGATCGTGGATGAGGAGATTGGTTCCCACTGTATGAGAAAGAGCCTTCGATGCGCTTGGGGACATCATGATATCCACTGGGAAACTCAGTGTGCCGTGCTCGTGGTTGTCGTGTGGGTGACAATATCGGAGTAGATTACTGACTGTTGAGTTGACAGTTTGGAGAGTCCACCTCAGTTCCATCTACACTCGCAGATTCCAGGCACTTCTGTTCTATGCCATACCTCCTCATCTCTTTTGCTATCTGGGGAGCCTCAGTAGATTCATACATGGTGAGGACATTCCATGTCCCCATCCTCACATTCATTTTGATTGAGGGAGAGAAGAGACATCGGCTGACTGACTTCCCGACGGCTTTCACCGACCGGCGTTCTTTCGTCTCTCCGATTCCAGAGGGGAATAAGTTTGTTTTTATTTTTTGTATTTTGTTTGTGTTTTGAAGTTTCTGTAGCGGTGTGATCGGTTTTCCGGTTTAGGGTTGCTAGCCCTATTTCCAACCATCCCTCTTTATCGAGGCTTAGTACCGGCTGGTAACTAGTGAACTACTTAACCAGCTGAGGTTGTAGATTACCCTTAGCAGTCACCAACTGTCCTGAAAATTGAGATATGTTTTATTTTCGACAATGTTGCGAAACGTTTAGATGTCAAATGAAAAACTGGTTCGTATGGTGCACAAATGAAATCGGTCCCGTTATTTGGTTCAGTGGACTGAAGGAAGGTTGGGGAGGAGGAGTAAATCGGAAAAATATTACTGTGAAACAGATTCATCAGATACTGTTTCCCAAGATAGACCCGGAAGTAGCTTTACTATCACTTTGGTGGATTTTCAAGTATTCTTCCATTCTGAGAGTAAATGAAAAAAATAGCAACTAATTAAGAATCCTTTTTGGTTGTGTTGTGTTCTTTAAACAGGGTGGTTTAATCGTGAATAGTTCACTGTCTTTGTAAACAACATCATCAACACAAACTTTAGTATGAAAGCTTCATGAATAAATCACCCAGCTCGGAGAATACAAAACAACCAAGATCGTCCACCTGAGCCACAGATATTCTTCACCGTTTCAAAACATGAATTTATTTTCTACAGAAAACAGAAAAATTATCAAACACAGTGCGGTTCTGACAATTCTTTCACAAGATTAGTTTACTTCTTTATGCTTCAAGAAATTGAATGTACTCATATGGTCTCTTCTCTCCCACAACTTTAAGTCACTGTTTGTACAAGAAAGATAAAATTGTTTCAAAATTAGATAAGCTTTGCACCAGCTAAAAGAATGATTCTGTCACCTGAATTCGCTTCATCTCAACAGGATACAAAATAATTAGGTCATTTGCCAACATCTGTGCAAATACTAACAAAGATAAAAAGCGTTTACTAGAATGTACGAGGTAGAAACATCTGCTTCTTTAACATCTAGCAGACTGCTCACCATCATACATCCATTAACTTTATATTCCCTCCAAATAATATTCAGTGGCTTGCAGGCATATTTTTACAGCTTTCTGAAAATGACTGAGAAAATCAAAGGAAAGTTTTAAGTATAATTTAGAATCACTTTATGATATTCTTAGGATCTTGTTTTTCACGCAGATTACATTTTTATCGTCACTTTTTGAAACCTTATTTGGTTCAATAGGGAAACTAGTAACAACATCTTGTCCAACTATCCTTTACTTGGCTACCATATAAAACTTGTGTTAGCAGCCTTTCTCTACATGTGATCATTGAAAAACATAGGATATGCTCAAACAACTGATTAGTTCTGGTAAACGTGATGTTAGGTCTTTGACGTTAGTCAAAATACCCACTGAAATACTCATTCAGTATGTTCAACTAACTTTTGGTTCTTATATATATACTCTTGTATTATATGGGATTGATGAACATGAAGTACAAGCAGGATTTTAGCAGAAGTCTAAAATTTGCTAATGCGGGTAAATAGTGGAAGACCTGGCCTCAGTTTTCACTATTGAACTAGACAGAGTCCTAAAATTTGACTTTTCAGACAGCTTGACCAAAATCATTTTGTCTGACTGCGTTGTAAGTGAACGTT